TAAGAATATCGTGAATTTCCTCAGGCTTTACCATCTCTTCACTTGCATTTCTCGATCTTATGACTGGACCTTGGGCTAGGCCGTTGTCTACATCGTCCTGGGTTTGTTTCCCGGATCATGTTCTGATGAACGTCCTCCGCTCGTTACAGGCGTGTCGTTCCTGTTATGGTCGTAGGGGGTCTGCTCTTGGATTCAAATCTTTGTAGTAGCCGTCGTCGTTTCTAGAGTGCATCCCAGTGCCTGTATTTTCCCGAGAGGTGAACTGGCCCCTTTGTCCGCCATCATGAGACGGGTATGGTCTGTTCCGGCCATAACTCTGACTCTCATGGAAATTTGTGCTCCTATCAAATCGGCCTTGCCCCCTTTCATTTGAACTGCCTTGCGTTGCCCGACACATCAGAATTCTGTTTTCCCCGCTCGTCAAAATTCTCCATAGTTTGCATCTTTCGCAGAAAAGTTAACGCGTCCTGAATGGTTCGAGCAGCAGCTGATAAAAGGGTTCGTTGCACATACGGCGGGAAATGGCATCTACGAGGTGTAGCTCTGCCAATCTTGGTGATAGGTTGGCTGCCAACACAGAATATCGCAAGAAATTCGCCGACATGGTTTCATTCCTATTTCTGTCTTACCTGTCCTGATATAGTGATATACGTACTTGAGACTGTACTTGCGGATTCCATAAGAGCTCCTTAATGGATTGCTTAAAGTGGTTATAGTCAGCCAAGTCCTTGTACACTGCCGTAAACCATTGTTTTAAATAGTTATCTGTAACAGCCTTGACTGCTATAGGCAATTTCAAACATTCTGGGACCCCATTTTGGTTGTAAACTTACGCAGGAATGTGTTTGGATAGAAATCTCTATTCCCGGTGGTTTTAGTTTACTTGTTGGTAACAATTATTTTCTGCCGAATATGGATATCAAAATTATTGAAAATTATTTTATTTCTTTGGAAGCTAAGCTGAACACTCAAAATTTCTGCGTAGTCCTGTTAGGTGCTTTAATGTACCTGGATATGATTGAGTTCATGGGTGTCACCATGCTAACTCACATTATTATACCAAACTTAGAGGTGAGGTAATTTATAATGCTGCATGTTATTTTGGACTTTCTCAGTACAACCCTACCGTACAAAACAAGAATTTACTTCATCTTGTATTTGCTAATTTTACTGATATTTAGGTTTCCTAATCTGATTTTAACTTGGTTGAACCTGATACCTTCCATCCTTCTTCTTATTTGCAGCCTCCACGTTCTTTTCGCAATTATTCCTGTGGTGATTTTGTATTGTTATATAAATATTTATTTTCTTATGACTGGACCTGTGTCCGTAATCAGACTTCTGTAGACTGTGCCGTTAATAAGCTCAACTCAGTTGTTACTGAAGCTTTAAATTTAGCTGTACCCTACAAGTGTTCTAGGAAGTCCAAGTTTCCATGTTGGTTTTCTAGCACTTTAAAATACTATATTTGTAAAAAAAAAATATGTATTTTTGTCAGTACAGAGAGACTAAATCTGATTTTTATTATTCCTATTTTTTTATTTTTTTGCAAACTTGTTAAATTTACTATCAAGTTTGATGGACAGCGGTGGTTAAAGGCAGTTGATGACAGTTTAAAAACTCATCCCGAACATTTTTGGAAGTATGTTTCTAATTTTAAAAAGAAGGATAACTCATTTATTCAACTTAAAGTTGATAGTCAGTTTATTACTGACTCTAAATTAATTGCTGATTCCTTTGCTAATCATTTGAAATCAGCTTTTAATGCTAATTGTCCTTCCGTTACTCCTCCTGTTTCGACTGCATTCGACTTTTTACCCACCGTTTCTGTTTCTGCCTTTGAAGTATCAATGGCTATTAAGCGCCTTAAACCTTCCAAGTGTGTTGGATTGGATGAAATTCCATCTTTTATTATCAAGGGTTGCTCGGACATATTTATTCCTTTACTAACACATATTTTTAATCTTAGTGTATCCATCCTTGTGGAAGGGAACTGCTGTTTTTCCTATATTTAAAAAAGGAGACAGTACCAGTGTTAGTAATTACAGACCCATTTCAATTTTTAACAATTTTTTCAAAATATTTGAATTTGTTATTTATGACTACTTATCTTATTTGTTTAGACACAGACTTAATCCTGCCCAGCATGGGTTTAGAAAATTTAATTCTACTTCAACTAATTTGGTTACTTACTTAAACTCCATTATGCCCATTTTTAGCACTCAAGGTCAAATTGATTCTATATACTTTGACTTTAGTAGTGCCTTTGACACGTTCCCCATAACATTCTTCTTTACAAGCTCGCCAGCTTTGGAATTTCCTCTAATTCTGTTGATTGGTTTTGTAGTTATCTTACCAACAGACATTCCTTTGTACGTAGATCGGGAAAGCTTTCGTATCCTTATCTTGTTGTCAGGAGTGCCTCAAGGTTCAACCTTAGGCCCCTTACTTTTTAACATATTTATTAATGATATTTGCGACTCTCTTTCCAATTCTAGTTATCTGTTGTTTGCTGACGATTTGAAGATATATCGTAATATTAGAAACGTTTTTGATTGTAAGTTGCTGCAGCATGATATTCATTCTGTGCAAAATTGGTGCCATAAAAATGGTATGAAGCTTAATTTAGGTAAAACTACGATTATATCTTTTACTCGTAAAACAAACAGCATATATTTTAATTACAAATTATATGACAATTTGATATTGCGTTCTCAGTGTGTTAAAGATCTTGGTGTACTTTTGGACTGCAAGTTTTATTTTCACCAGCATATTTAGAATGCTTGGTTTGATTAGGTGTATTACGTCTTCTTTTTCTACTTTAGATAGCTTATTGGTTTTGTACAATAGTCTTGTTCGGTCTAAATTGGAGTATGGATCTGTTACTTGGAATTCCATTACTTCCACTGATTCTGCCAAAGTTGAAAGAATTCAAAGGAAATTTGCTGCTTTATGTCACGCCAGATTTTTAATGGCCTCAGTGACTATAATTATGAAGACGTTTTAGTTAGGAGCCATCTTGATGCTCTCTTTCTCATTAATATATTTATAAAGGCAAAATTTGCTGCCCATCCGTTTTGGATTCAGTTTCTTTGCGCTTTCCCTCCAGATCTATTAGAGACTACTTCACGTTTTTTGTTCATGGTAGTTTTAAGGCTAGTCCCTCGTTTAGGTGCGTTTCTGCTGCCAATGCAGTCTGTCAGCGCATCAACATTTTTAACAAGGAGAATATTTTTCTTGGGCATTTTATTTAGCCCCCCCCTTTTTTTTTGTAATTAAAGTTTCATTTTGTATGTATTATTTATATTTAACTGTTTTTAATTTAATTATTATACACTTAGGCATATTATTCAGCTCATTTGCTTGTTGATTATTAGCAATAAATGGGTTGAATTATTTGTACATTTATATAATTAGTTTGTTTGTTTTTTGTATTTTAATGTTTCACTTTTAGGCATATTATTTAGCTCATTTACTGTTAATTATTTTGTAACAAATTAATGAATTGATATATTATCATTATTATATTGTACATTTATATATTTAGTTTATTCTTTGTGTCTTTTTGTATTGTTATTTTAAGTGCTTGGCTGTTGCCAAGCACTCTAATAAATGAATGTAATTGAATTATGGGTTCTTCTTCTCTCCTTGTCTCTCTTGCCTGAGCACTAGGCTCATTTTGGCTCTGATCTGTATTCATGGCCAACTAGGCTCTTCGACCAAATAATCACAAAGTAAAAATGTATTATTATTATCTCCCAGAATTGCTCAGATAGAAGTGTAAAATTACTGGTACTGATATGAAGGCAAACAGTTGGAGATTATTCATATTAAGAAAAAAAATAAGTTCTACACAACTCGACTCAAATGGCTAAATATGCATAGAATAAGTAATGTACAATAAGAATATCATTATCCATTATTCAAAAGGATATAAGTCCTCATCACGGCTACACCAATTTTTTTTTGACGTAAATACGTCTATAAGGAAAAAAAGTGTTACGAAAAAGTGTAACTGCATTGTTATGTTACCTAGGAAATGCCATCTGTTTACTCGGCATTGTTGTGTTTCATTATTGCCGTCAACAATCCGCTTTCGTTATTGCGGAAAGAGCTGAGCTGTGAATCGCTTGTAGAAGTGCCTCGTGGAGTAGATAATTTTGTGCTGGTAAAAACGTTTTACAATATCACATTAAGAATTATTAAGTAATCTGTTGTTGCGTCATACTATGTACAAGATGGATGACATTGAAGCTAAAAGACTCCATAACGCAGATTATATGAGACAGTACAGAAAACGTTAAAAAATAGAAGTATTAGATAATGAACCTAAAGTTCCCAAAAGAATACCAAAAACTAATGCTGAACGTAAAAGGGAATATATTGATGATTGTAAGAGATTTATTTTGAGTCATTTGAGAAATTATACAAAGATGTTTTCAGTTATGGCCACTGAAGATCCTAATACAATGCCGATAATATTGACAGGAGATTTTAACGTTGATTTAAAGAAGGAGGAAAATCAAAGCTTTGTCACATTTATGGAGGAAACGTTTGGCTTAATGTTGATGTCAAATCCTAGTTCAAAATCTTGTATAGATATGGTGTTTGCACGAAATGTTGATACTCTAAAGTGCACAAATTTTATAACATATTTCAGCTACCACAGACCCATCTTAAGCGTAACTAATTCAGGTTAAATAAGCAATGTCTTACTCAAAATTTACTCAATTGTAAAGCGGGTATAAAGGAAATATTTAGAATAAAGCCAATACATAAACTTCCTTTCCGTATAGACGTATTTACGTCAAATTCTCCGGAACCGTGGTTCCACTGTCACTTTTTCAGAGAGCTAATGACACCTAACTTTACCACATATGTACCGTAATTAAATGTATCAACTGCAATTTAATATGGCACTCACCTGTTAGGCTCGGTATGAGAAAGTTTGCACAGGTATTCTTCAAAACACTTTTCACATGTTTTCCCTCGCTTTCCAGTGCACACAAACGCGTTGAGGTGGAAAGTCGAAAACTTCTCGGTAGATGGCTTAAGATGTCTCACCCATCCCCGCTTGGTCGCGACATACTTGGAGTTCTTTGTAAGTAGTAATAAACATTAGGGATGTATGAACATGCAAATATTCATACTTAAACATTGCCTGAAGTCTGTCTTCAAACTTTTTATTTATGTTAATCCATCTAATCTTACAAAATATGCCTTTATTTTTAAGCCTAAATGCAGATTGTTTGGTATTACTGGTAGCAAGTCCAGACAAAACAAAGTTTATCTCTCAGAAAAGTTGGTGTTTGCTCTGGACATTTCCACATTTAGGAATGACAAGAGTGTGTGTGCATGTTTTTCTTTTGCAGGTCTTATTTCCACCTGTTTGATACACCACCTCTTTATCCTTGGGAATAAAAAGGTGAAGCTGGAGATAGCTAATGGGAGTCAGCGAAGTTTGTCGTCACTGATACTGATTGTCTGTCTTTACGGATGTATTCCGTTCATCTTCTCCTCGCACCCAAACCAGGAGCTCAGGTACTGTTAACATACAGAAAAAATGCAGATACATTGTTGAACAGAACATGACTTTCTTAAGTAACAAGGAATACATTTAAAAATGTATAAGTATGGTAACTTAGCTCAGTGTGCGCAGGAATGGTTTCACCTAGGTAGGGACGATGCTTGGGCTTGCGCAGGCCTCCGCCCTCAGTTAGCTTCTTTGGTTGGGAGTGTGGTACCACAGTACAGATTACAGCCATCATCCCAGAGTCCAGTTCCTAGTGCTCTCACCCCCTGTTGAGAATTGAGTATCTTCCCTTCCCGAGCTATTTGGACTCATGGTTGTGTCTGTGGTCTTTGACTGCTTTGGATTGTATATGGCGTCAGGGCTTCAGAGAAGTTGGTTTGTGTGTGTTGTGTGTGCAACATTTGGTGCCGAAACCCGGGAAGAAAGCCTGGAAATCGCTGTGACGGTAGAAGAAGACGAGAGGTGAAGAATAAGGAAATATCACGTTGGTAGCTTCACGTCGCAGCGGCAACTTCAGCTGTTCACAAGAAATCTTTCCTCACGCCACGCTAGGGAAGCCACTTGGACACGCCATCGCACAGATACGTTTTTTTCCACATATTATATATTAATTTGCACAACGTTAAACGTTAAAACTACTCTAAATTCCTTATTTACGTTATTAAGATTACTGGGTTTGAGCTTTATCTATAATAATAAATTAAGCGCCATCTACGGCCAAGTCTGATCTATCTGCGACAAGTACTGGAGGCTCGGTCGGTTATACAGTTTATACAACACGTATGGTATTTGCACGTGCCGTGTGATACCAGGAGGACATACGATATTTGCACTACCTCGAATTTGAAATTTAAAGGGAACATCCTAAAGAATGTCCAGTGCATCAGATCCAGCTACGACCCTACATAACTTCAAGAGAAGACGTACCAGAGAGAGAGCCAACGCTACGCGGTTTTCCACTGTCATTAATGGACTTACTGAGGACAGTTCCATAGACGACTTCGAACACTTCCGGGGTCGCCTCCAAGACACCTTGGGTAAACTCACTGTCATTCACGACCTTCTGTCCGACGGTGAATATGAAGCTGATGTGGAGAATTGTGAAGAATATGTTGACAAGATAAAACGTGCCATTCAGAAGGCTACACGGAGAATAGATAGCAAGCTTGCAGCCTCAACATCCCAGTTAAGCGTCTCTTAGCCGCCACAAACCCACACATATCCAGCAGTCACGCACTCTGTGAAACTCCCTCCCATTAAGCTCGAGCCATTCGTCGGGGACATCGAGACCTGGTCCCGCTTTTGGGAACAATTTGAATCATCCATTGATAAAGATCCGTCCCTCTCTACCATAAACAAACACGTGTTCTTACGAGGGTACCTGGAAGGCGAACCAAAGATGCTAGTGAACGGGATTGCCATAACTGCCAGTACATATGAGGAGACAAAGAAAATCCTTCACACTCGCTACGGTGACCGCAACCACATTAATTCCAAGCACATCAAAACCACGCAAAAAGGTAAAGGATCTTGACAAATTCCACCATTTCTCTTACTGCATTCGAGAGCTTCCACTCCTTTGCTCCACACCCGACTGTACCACACGATGTGAGGATGCTGAGTCACACGCGTAAACTTCAGTTAGCTGACCCAAAGAATGACTCGGAAGACCTTCCCATCGAGATTCTTATCGGCGGAGATAACTATTGGAAAATTGTCAAGGACGCTTCGCCAATCCGTCTCACGTCATCCGTCGTGCTAATTCCCTCTAAATTGGGTTGGGTACTTAGCGGAAACAGATCAGGCATCACAGTAAACACTCTAACTGTCAACTATGTGAAACTAAACACATCATCGCCCTCTGAAGATATCTTACGACGCTTCTGGGACTTGGAAACCATAGGCATCATGGAAAACCAAGACAAAACCCCGAGTCTCAAGGATTCGGCTTTACTTCAAGAGTTTGCTGCCTCATTCTGTCTCGAGGATCAGAGAAGAGTGGTTTCGTTTCCCAGGAAAGAAAATGTCACTGTACCCAACAACTGACACGAGGCGGAGAAGAGATTCTTCTCACTACAGACGAAATTGGAAAGGAACGTTCATCTTAAACAAATTTACCAAACCCAGATGTTGGATCACATTAAGAAGGAACACATAGAAGTAGCCCCACCTGAAGAGGACTCCCGCCAAATGTTCTATCTGCCACATCATGCCGTAAAGAAGGAAAAGCTCGGAACTACAAAATGGAGGATCGTTTTTGACGGCTCATCACATGAGAACAATGCACCTTCCCTTAATTACTCTTTGGAAATGGGTCCGAATCTTTCTCCAGATCTATTCGCAATATTATTACGATTTCGACTGTATCCTGTTGCCTTGATTGGAGACATCAGCCAGGTATTCTTGCAATTAGTGTTACACCGAAAACTCAGAGATCTTATAAGGTTCCTGTGGTATAGAGTAATCTTGGACCAGGAAGGGAACTACATCACAACCAGCGATCTGATCACATATCACTTCACCCGACTTCCATTTGGACTTACCTGTAGCCTCTTCCTCCTGTCTGCCACACTGCGAGAACTTGCCACAAAGTACAAGCATGTATTTCCTCAAGCTACGTCCCTTGTTGATAAGAATATGTACATGGATGATTTCGCTGCCGGTGCTGAGGACGACGCCGGAGTGATCAACCTGTACAATGAAGTGACTTCGCTCATGGGACGAATTCACCTACCTATGGCAAAGTGGGCTACGAACTCGCAGCCTTTGATGGAACTATACTTTAAGCACCTCAGGTGTAATATTATCCATTCCTGGAGCCTTTCCATTATTTATCTGTTTGAGGGCTAATTTGATTTCAGCCTTTGTTGGTACATTTATACCGATTTTACAATCAGTTTCTACCACATTTTCTCGCATCACCCCTCCGTCATGTCGATCTCTGTTTAGGACTTCAGAGAAATATTCCTTCCATCTCTTGAGTTGATCTTCTTCTGTTGTCAATAGTTGACCATCCTTACTTCTCACAGGTCTATTCTTGCTGAAGCCTTTCCTAGCTAACATCTTGGTTATACTATAGAGTTCTTTGGCATCTCCCCCTTCTGCAGCCGTCTCAGCTCTCTGGGCCTGTTCATCCACCCACATTCTCTTATCAGTTCTCACACTTCTCTTTACTAGGCGGTCAGTAATTGTGTATTCAGTTTG